TAATAAATTAACCATTTGTCTCAGTTAAAAGTGAAGTGCAAAAGACACAGAGTTAATTTTCTCATCACCACATAATAAAGGAGTGGCAGATCCAAAAGTATATCAAATCTTTCTATGGCATAACTGTAGAATCTTAAGGAGTAATGGGGGTGGGTTGGGGGTAGTGGGAGGGAGAAGGTGAGGGTGAGAAGGAAATTCAGTGTGTCAACTTCAATGCTATATCTTTATTTTCAACTAACTTCATGCTTGTTCTTAGGAAGTGAAGAACTTCTTTTCTTCTCTCTACCCTAACCTCCCCATGCATCCCCCAACTGTCCAGCTTTGTTTAAAATACTAATAGACATCTCTGATTATACCGCCTGATTTTTATTTCAGCAGAATTTGAAAAGACTGTATTCTCATTCTTTCTAGAAATGAACAGTCTTCATGACCTCTGTTTCTCAGGGCAGAAGATTGTTTCTAAGTCTCCAAACAGCCTTTTGACCTACATCTATCCCCATCTGTCACTATCCCACCTGTGATTGGTAATTCATAGAATTGGCTCTTTGGGATGAGTACCTGGTTCTCTCATGAAAACTCACCAGGATGAATTGCCTGATGCTTTCTTACAAGTCCCAGTGCTGTCTGACCCAGCACTCTAGGGGTTCAGAAATTATGATTATGGAAATTTCTTGAATTTGCACTGGATCCCAGTAGACCTGTTATTTCCTTACCTTCACCAGGAGGATTATAAAGCACTGGTTTTTATTGATACAGGAAAGAAATGCTTTGCACAAATAGAGGAACAGATGAGAGGAGACACAGGCCCTGTATCTGTGGTGAGTGAATCAAGGTGTAAAAACCCGTTGAGGGGTGTGGAGACTGGGTGCCTCTGAGCATTAGCATCACTGGCGTATGGGCAGAACTGAGAGGCCTCTGTTTAGGGCAGGATATACTTTAATCTTTCCATAATCCGAGAGGTGAGATTAAGCTCATTCTAATCCTCCCTCTTGGTAAGCATCTGGAATGAGTTCTTATCATATCAATGCTCTTTTAAGAGTTGGATTACTGTTAGCCAAGAAACATACTTCTGTCATGGTAAAATAAGAAACTCTGGTCTTTTTCAGTGCTTAAACAACTGGCCAAACCTATACAGAATTGCACATGATTCCCCAGGTTAACCTTTAGTGGATATTCCTAGTGCAGACTGAATCCAATGTATTTCCTAAATCTTATTGCTAATCTTCTGTTTACAGAGCAAAGATAGATATTGAGAAACTGGCTTGGTCTCATGTGGGGTTACAAACTCTATGGCCATAAGGTAAATAGCTAGTTATTTATTTTGTATGGTTATTTAAATTTATACTTTGTAGTAGAACTTGTCTTTGAAGTTGCGGACAAGTTGAAAATCAGCAGTATTTATCTAGATTATCCTAATGTTAACCTCTTCATGAGCACAGTTTAGTTATCAAAACTAGAAAATCAATTATGTTGTTATGTAGTACCGAACAACTAATCTATAGATATTATTAGAATTTTTCAAATTTTCCTATTAATGTTCTTGCTCTGGTCCAAGATCCAATATGGGATTTGAACTTGCATTTAGTCAGATTAAAAGAAACCAAAAAAATGTTACACTGAACTTAATCCAAGCTTGTGAAAACAAAGAAAGACTGAAGAAATGTGAGTTTGTTAAAGAGTACTACTGCACAGATACTGTACAGATTGCCTGTCAGTTCAGATTCATATGATGATTAAATTGAAACTGCTCAGTTTTTGGCAAGAAAGTCATAGAATAGATGGTAATATTATAACAGGACCAAAGATATTAAAGTAGTGAATTGCTATGATGTTAATTTTGATAATGTGTCAAATCTCTCTTTAGGTTACATTTTTGAAGTAATTTGAGGAGGCACACAGAGAATAATTTTTCATTTAATCCTAAAGTGGGAATGCTATTAATTATGCAATAACTAATCACTGGCAACATTTGTTAAGTACATAATTTCTGAAGGTTATTTTCATTTTATTATTTCTTAAATTTTAATTTTATAGGTGAAGACATCAGAACAGAGAGGGATTAAGAAGTATGTTCATGGTCATATAGATAATCAGTCAGGAAGCCAAGTTTCTAACTGGATCATCTGAATCAAGAGTAGTGTTTTCCAAAGTGGTTGATGTTGCCCTCCACCCCCAGAGATATGCTGGCATGATCCAGGGGGTGCTAGTAATTTGGGTAATATGGGTATCACTTTCTGTTTATTTTCTTATAGAAGGTAGAGTTCCAAAAGGGGCATTGAGTGATATATATTTTTTTTTCTGAAAGGAGGGTGATAGGCTAAATAAGTTTGGATAACCTTTGATCTAGAGTATATTCAACCCTTAGCTACCTACTTATGTATGTAAGGTTGTATATTGAAACCCAGTCTTGAAAAACTTGGTACTATGTATCTCATAATATAATAATAATAATAATAATAATAATAAAAGAATATATATAGATGCTAACTTGTTCCAGCCTCTGAAAAGTCAATATGAGAAGACACATGGGCTTATTGAAAAGACATGATGAATACTATTAAAGATATTCAAAAAAGTTAAATATTTGTACATATCTTAGATCTGTTTTGCAGATTTATCTGGTTAATCCTGGAAGTAGTATCACAGAAATTTGGTCACAAATAGGTTTCTCTACCAGATTTATAACATAAAATGAAATTACTTATCACTTATCATTTTAAATTTAACATAATTAATCAGAGATACTTCTAATCCATTCCAGATCATAGTATCTTTCTATAAATGACCAGGTTTCACCTAATAAATATAATCAAGGATTTCTGTCACCAATTTTTGAAATAAAACATACACAGATTGTAGGCTATCTATTATTTTAAAATATTTAAGGAGATTATTTAAAACTGCTTAACAATTTGTTAGGACTAGGTATAAAAATTATAATTTATTTTCTATATGGATTCTAGAAACTACAAATTTTTGAGAAATACCTATTTTATTTTTCACTCAAATTTCACTGATAGTCTTCAGAACCAAGTCATATGTTAAGGCAACGCCTTTTGAACATCTCTGTTTGTATATGTATGGCTGATCTGTAGTTATTACTACATTTAAATATATGACTACTATATAACAAGCACTATTAAGTCCTTCCAGGGTTCACAAACACTCTGTAAGGTCAGTGCTGTTGCCCTGAAAGGGGGACGCAGGGCTGGCAGTTTGGAGGTCAGTCGTGGAGTTGCAGTTAGCAAGCCTGTGGTTCTCAGGGAACACTAGGGCCACACCTGGAGGAACCAGGCATAAAACTCAGGGTCTGGTACATGCTAGGCATATATTCTACCACTTTAGCTATATCGCCAGGCCCTAAAAAATACTAGACTTTTTTTTTCTGAGTGTATAATGTCTGGTACCATATAGTACCATTTAAGGGCTGGAGCGATAGCACAGCGGTAAGGCGTTTGCCTCGCAAGCCGCTGGCCTGGCTGAGCTGAGTTCTATTCCTCCGCCTCTCTCGAAGAGCCCAGAAAGCTACAGAGAGTATCTTGCCCACAAGGCAAAGCCTGGCAAGCTATATATATTCAATATGCCAAACACAGTAACAACAAGTCTCATAATGGAGATGTTACTGGGCCCGCTTGAGCAAATCGATGAACAACTGGAGGACAGTGCTACAGTATAATATCTAATAGAATGAAGGTCTGGAAGATATTAGAAAGTAAGCATTAAAGTTTGTGACTATAGGAAACAATTTACAACGCAAATGAATGTGAAAATAGACAAATGGAAATGCAATTATTATGGTGGACAGAAGGTGGTGAGACTGTGTAACAGAGTTAGATAAAGTAAGCACTTCCCTTGGGTTGGGGCCTTTGTTTCCAATTGTTAATGCTGCATTCCTGGAAATTTATGCTTATTTTTCCGACCCTTCAGGTGGTACCCAAGACCTGTTATTCTCATCCTTCTGTGCCCCAACTTTGGAGAAATACAAAGCTTTCTGGTGCTGTCATAACAGCTCAAAATGGTAAGAAGACTGAGAAAGATACTAATGAGGACAGTACTTCTAATTTTGTCTCTAGTCACAGAATTGTCTCAAAAATAGGGTAAATGCTTCAATAAGGAGAATGTGGGGTTGGAAAAGGTGGGTCTGGGGAAAGAGTTGAACAAAAGTATACATGAGTTGAACATCTCAGCTCCGGTCTTGGTTGAAGAATTCCTGAAAACTTTTTTTAAGTATGTCTTCACAGGAAAGAAATTCATCACTATTGAATGCATTTAAAAGAACTATTTTGAACTCTTAAGAAAAGAAAACAAAAAATTGTTGACTCCAAGACCACATTAGAGGAGAAAAAATATCCACAGAGGATGGCTTTGAAACGTGTATCATTGATTTGAATGTTTCCTTTTCTGATGTATTTGTTAGCAAATATGTCATACCATGAAAAATCTACTTTTAAAATAAATATAAATGATTAAACTGCTTATTTCTAATATCTAAAATTTCCATGGGAACTATTTTTAGCTTGAGAAGATACTATGGGGATACTTTTGGCTTAGAATACTTGAAAGAAAGAGGTTGTTGGGGGTCAAAGAAAAGACAGAGTGACTAAAACTTTCGAAAAAGATCAACTCATAAAATGTATTAAATGCCACATAGAAAAATAAAATTAGGGACCAGAGTGATAGCAATGGGGCTAAATCATGTGCCTTCCATGCTACAGACTCTGGTTGATCCCTGGCACTACAGATTACTCATGAAAATTGCCAGGAGTAATCTCTGAGTGCATCTGGGTATAACCCAAAATCCTTCCAAAAGAAGATTAAATTATCCAGGAAATGAAAGGCAATGGAGCTGATAAAATGAACAAGGTTACTTTCATGGCCCAAGGGAGTGTTGAGGACATCTTTTTCTTCCTAGCCCACTCTTTATAGGGACTTTAAAAGTGACAGTCAAATGAACAGTTGACTCTTACTCGTAGGGTGGACAACTCCCTCCTGGAATCACCATGTTTTCCTGCAACACCAGCACTTCCGGTCACTCTACCTTCCTCCTCACTGGTTTTCCAGGACTGGAAGCCTCTCATCATTGGGTTTCCATCCCCATCAACCTCATCTGTGTGATTTCCATCCTGGGTAACAGTATCATCCTCTTCCTGATTCGCACTGATTCAGCTTTACATGAACCCATGTACATCTTCCTGTCCATGTTGGGGGCCTCTGATCTGGGCCTCTGTGCCTCTACCTTCCCCACCATGGTGCGGCTCTTCTGGCTGGGCACTCGTGAGCTGCCTTTTGATTTCTGTGCTGCACAGATGTTCTTTATTCATGCCTTCACCTATGTGGAATCCGGCGTGCTGCTAGCCATGGCCTTTGATCGCTTCATTGCCATTCGGGAACCTCTTCACTATGCCACAATTCTTACACATTCAACCATGGCCAAAATGGGGGTCGCAATTCTGGTGAGGGCTATAGTGCTCAACCTTCCAGGTCCCATTCTTTTACGGCGCCTGTTCTTTCCCCAGATCAGTGTCCTCTCCCACTGCTACTGCCTCCACTGTGATCTTGTGGGATTGGCTTGCTCAGACACCAAGGTCAACAGCTTATTTGGCTTGATCTCCATTCTTTTCTCCTTGGGCCTCGATTCCTTCCTCATCATGCTCTCCTATGCTCTGATTCTACGAACTGTGCTGACCATTGCATCACCTGGTGAGCGACTCAAGGCACTCAACACATGTGTCTCACACCTCTGTATTGTTCTTATCTTTTATTTGCCAAAACTGGGACTGTCTGTGTTGCATCGAGTAGAGAAACACAGTTATCCTGCCTTAGCAGTGCTCATGGCCAACCTACATTTTTTGGTTCCACCCTTCATGAACCCCATAGTATACTGCATCAAGTCTAAGCAGATCAGGCAGGGTCTCCTAAAACGCTTTATGCAGAAAAGGATTGATGCATCCTAGAATAGCAGAAGAGTTCACGTGGGTCACATTGCTTTTGTGTGGAACTTAAGGTGGGGAGCTCATTTATAAAACTTAGGAATGACTTAGATCTTAATATCGAGTCTTTTATGGGCCTACCTCATCTTCCATAATTTTAATTTTGGGGAACTGAGATCTTGAAAAGCATATTAAATTATCACTGGTAATTTTTTTTTTTGTTGCTCTGATATCTCAGATTCATATGTAGAGTGACATCTGCTTATTTAGGAAACTTAATCACACTGAGGGGATATATTTGTGTATATCTGCACAGGCTTCTCCTCTTTGGTCCCACTGAATTATACCCTTCCCTCCATTTGATTTCTAACCCTAAGTAAGAAATAAATTACATAAATTTATAATTATAAGAATAGCATATATATGTGAGCCATGTTTACCTGAATTCTGGCCCTCTTATCCAAAATTTTAATAGGGTTCACACCCACAAGTTCTGGGGGTACTGATCTTAGACACTCTTGATTGTGCTTGTAGGGTCTTTGGACCTTGTTTAGTGATGATTGGCCTGTTTGTGCAGTGTTTGGGGGTTACTAGGGCTACACCTAGTGGTGTTTAGGGGCACCACTCGATGATAGAGCACTTGCCTTATATATAAAAAGGCCCTATCACTGCTTCCCAAATTTAATATGAGTCAGATCATATCAAGAAATAAAAGAGAGGCTACTTTTGGGGTAAATTTATCATGTACAGTGTATCCTATGTGATAAGGGCCCCCCCCCCCCGCCCCACACACACACCCTGTACCACCAGCCATTGATTTGAGACTTAGAGAATGGTAGCTTTTTCCTTGGTTCTCTTATGTGTGCATTTGCTTTGAATTTGAATGTTTGGCATTGGCAAGCCTAGGAAAGCTGCCCACTGAATTCTCTATAGTACAATTTCTCAAGCACAGTGGCAATAAGTTTAAAAAGTCACTCATTTCCAATGTAAGTGATCTTCTAAGATGTAAGTTCCATGAGACCAGGATTTCAGAGAATGTTGTGTTCACTAAATAATTTTAGCTTGTTTTTAGGTTTTTTTTTAATTCACACCTGACAGTGGTCCAGGGTTACTCTTATGGTATATAGTGGTCCTGGGGATTGCATCCAGGTTGGGTAAATACAAGGAAGATGCCATAGTCACTCTCTTGCCCTTGTGTTTTCACTATTGGTTTATTCAATGATATAAAAGGAGGGGGTGTAGAAATAAAGTTTCTTGAAAGTTGATTCCAGGATGGAAATAAAAGAAGGAAACATGAATGTCTAAGGTCTGTTGGGGATAATGAGCAGCTGATAATCTGGAATAAAATGATGTGGTAAGGATGAATACCAGAAATCCTGGGACTAGATGTGTTTCAATATGATCAGGAATGTTCTTTCCAATGGCACAGTTCAGAGAAGAGCTACATATTTGTGTGTATGGGTGGGTGCAGAAAATTTTCAAAGTTATTTACAATGCTTTAGAGGAAATATTATCCAGGAATGGATCATTTCTTACTTTATCACTAGCATTTTCCTTGGACTACTTAGTCCTGAAATACACCCCCCTTAAAAATTGAAATAGGTGTATTCTTAGTAGTAAACCATCACTCACATATTAGAGAGAAAGAAATAAAAGGCAATTTTCCCATATCAGTGGACAACCAGACAACTGAGAATTTAAAGATCATAGCAATTTGTGCGTATTATTTCTATGAAGTGAGACAGAAAGAACAAGAACTCAGAGGCAAGAAAGCAGGGTAAGGAGTAATGAATCCTGTACATGCAATTCTAGCTCTTAAATTTGGTTCCTTTATTATATTTAATGTGTTTATATTATATATTTTTTCTTGCCATTACAGCATGGATTCCAAAATATTCAAATTATCTGTGTCTATTGGTGACTAGGCTATTGTCCAAAGTGTCTAAAGGTGAAATCTTGTTCTTAGCTAATATTCTATATATATATATACACATATATATATACATATATATAAAACATTCACAAAGATCAACAATAAAGAAACTGGCAACTCTAAACAATGGGAAGAAGATATAAGCAATACTTCCTTACAGAAAACATATAGATGACCAATAGGCATATGGAAAAGTATTCATCATCTCTTGTTATCAGGAAAGTACAAATTAAAATGACAAGGAAGTATCACTTCATATCAGTGAGAATGACCTCTACATCAAAAGGAATAGAAACAATAGTGTTGATGGGAATACAGTGAAAAAATAATCATTATTCACTGTGAAAATGTCATCTAAGGCTGAGGCATCTATCAACCTCTTTGGAAATAGTATGGATACTTCTCAAAAAAATTAAAACCAGAGCTTTCATATAAACTAATGATTCTTTTTCTTGTTATCTGTTCCAAGAAAATGAAGTCATTAATGTGAAAAGATTTATTCACAGCTATGTTCACTTAGCGGTATTTGCAATGGCCAAGATCTGGAAGTAACCCAAATGTCCAGCAACAGATGAGTGAATAAAGAAAAAGTGTGCTATATACACAATATAAAACAAGTCCAAGAGAGAAGGAAAAATACCAAGTAATATTACACATACGTGATGGGAAGGAAATGGGGAGTGTTCAATGAAAACAAACTTTTTGACTTAGACTATAGAATTAAGGTTACCTTGGAGCTGAAGTGATAGCACTGTGGGTAGGGTGTTTGCCTTGCACGAGGCCAACCCGGGTTCGATTCCCAGCATCTGATATAGTTCCCCGGGCACCACCAGGGGTAATTCCTGAGTGCACAAGCCAAGAGTAACCCCTGTGCATTGCTGGGTGTGACCCAAAAAGCAAAAAAAAAAAAAAAAAAAAAAAAAAGAAAGAAAGAAAAGCAAAAAAAAAAGAAAAATAAGGTTACCAAGCAATAGGGGTAGGGATGTGGGGGTAAGAGGAGGACTAAAAGTCACATAAGAACTAGGGTAGAGGGTCTTTGGATTTTTGGTGATGGTGTAACAACTTTTGTACCACAAACATTAACTACTGTAACCACATTACCTCAACTTCAATAAAAAGAAGTCCTATCTTTAGAGCTGAAGAAGTCTGCAAATTATGAGTTTAGTGATCCATGTTAGAAAATTAAGTTTAGTATTATCCAACAAAGGATTTCAGTAATCTAGATTTGTCCTTTCAAATGCCCTCCCCTTCAAAAAGGGCCAATTTGTGCGGCATGACAATCTTCTTTGTTAGGGCCAAACAAGCAACTCTGTAATCTGGGTCTCTCCATATACTTCATTCGGAGTCCCAATAATGAAATGATTCTCATCTGTTTTTGATGGGCCAGCAAGTCCATATTGCTGAGGGTCCTATGGATCTTTACCAGAAGTCCATGGCAGATGTGATGGCGTTCAGAACCACAGTGACTGTGGCTAGTTAAAACAAAACAAAATACATGATATTAAAAAATTCTGAGAAATTTTTAATTATATGGTTAAAAGGATTACAAATTAAGGACAAAAGAATCCACTTGGAGACAGTTCCCACCACTATAGCTAGCACATTTGTTTTTATAGTTAGACCACAGATTCTTAGATCTGTGCAGCCATAGAATAACTCTGTCTCTACAACTTTACTTTCAAGGTATAGATACCTCAGCATGCGCTATTCTTCTGTTCTAGAAGTCCAAAAGCTACTGAAAATATATGGGAGGAATTTTGAGATAGTTTCTACAAAAATTTTGCTATTGGAACTGGTGGGGGGGGGGAAACGTTTGTCAGGGGATAGTTGTTATTGTTTCTCTAGTTAAATAAAAAAAAACACGACCAATTCTAAAAGTCACTACATTTCATATTCTGATCATTCTTTATGTGTAACATTAATCTAAAGTCTCTGCTTTTCATCTTTATGTTTATCAGATTGCCATTTATCATCGCAGAAAACTGAATTTAAAAAAAAATCTCAGCTCTGAGTGAAGTGAGTCAGTGGGAGAGGGACAGACATAGAATGATTGCACTTATTTGTGGGATATAAAAATCATAGTATAAGACTAATACCCAAGGACAGTGAAAACAAGGGCCAGGAGGAATGGTCCATGGTTGGGAGCTAGCCACAAATGGTGGGTGTGAGGACAGCTAGGATAGAGAAGGGACTACTATGCCAAAGGTAGTTGGAAAGAACTGAGTGCTGAAAGTAGGTAAAGTGACAAACATGATAACCTTTCAGTATCTATATTACAAACCATAAGGTCAAAAAGGAGAGAGAGAGAGAGAGAGAGAAAGAGAGAGAGTGAGAGAGAGAAAGAGAGAGAGAGGAAAAGTGCTTGCCATAGAGGTAGGCTGGGGGAGGACTGGAGAGAAACTGGGGACATTGGTGTTGGGCAATGTACAGTGGTGAAGGGACAAGTGGTGGAGCATTGTATTACTGAACCCCAATCATGAACAACATTGTAACTGTATCTCATGATGATTCAATTAAAAAACAATATACAAAATCCCAGCTCTGTCTGTGCCAGTTTATTTAATCTGTCTGAATCTACATTTACTCATTATACAGTGGGGATAATTTTCACAGAGATTTTTTAAGGATTCAAGAACATAATGTTGCATGAAGCAGTAAATTAAACAAAACAGAACCAGTTTTGAATATATGTGTGTAGAAATTTGATTAATGCCTATTTTTTCTATTCATTACAAGCACCATGAAAGCACTTAATTTCCTGGCTTGTCTAACTATATTTTGTTACATAACCTAGGATATTGGATTAAATAAATGTTTAAGTAAATAAAAGACTGAGTTCCTGGAAAATGGTATATACAATTAATTGCATAACTTTAATTGAGCACAATAGCTGGTATTAAAAAATCAGTAATATTACCAGTAGTATAATTTACTTTACATAATTTTGATTTTGGGGGGGAAGCAGCAAGTACTGATTGGTTTGTTTTAGATGCAAAATTTTTGTTCATGGTCACACAGCTCTACAGAGGCCCTGTATTTTTATTTTTTCTTAATTTCTAACTTTCTTGAAGACTCTTGATTCCAAAAAGGT